TACGTAGCAGAAGTAGTAGTAGTAGTTGTACCCGAAGTAGCGGTAGTAGTAGTAGTAGTAGTAGTAGTAGTAGTAGTAGAAGCAATAGCAGTCTTAGTAGTAGTAGTAGTAGTAGTAGTAGTAGTCGTAGTAGTGGTGGTAGTAGTAGTGGTCGTAGCAATTGTAGGCGTAGCCGTAGTCATAGCAGTAGTAGCAGCAATATTCCAAGAAGTAGTAGTAGTAGTAGTAGTAGTAGTAGTAGTAGTAGTAGTAGTCGCCGCCGAAGTAGTTGCAGTAGAAATAACAATAACAACAGCAGTAGTGATGATAGCAGTAGTAGTAGTAGTAGTAGTAGTACTAGTACTAGTACTAGTGGTAGTAGTCGTCGTAGTAGTAGTAATAGTAGTAATAGTAATAGGTAGTAGTAGTAGTAGTAGTAGTAGTAGTAGTAGTATCGCTGGAAGCAGTACATAGAAGTAATAGAAGTAGTAGTCGCACCACTTGTAGCAATAGTAGTAACAGTAGTAGTAGTAGTAGTAGTAGTAGAAGTAGTAGTAGTGGTAGTAGTAGTAGTAGTAGTATTCGTAATAGTGGTAGTAGCAGTAGTAGTAGTAGTAAGAATCATCATCGTAGTCGTAGTAGTGCTAGTAGTGGTAGTAGTAAAAGTAGTAGTAGTAGTAGTAGTAGTAGTAGTAGTAGTAGTAGTAGTAGTAGTAGTAGTAGTAGCAGTAGTAGTCGACCAATTAATCGGAGGAGGAGGAGGAGGAGGAAGAGCCCTAGCCTTAGCCTTACCCTTAGCCTTGGCCTTAGCGCCAAATGGGGCGAATGATCCACGCGCATCAGTTAAGCTGCGCGCAGTTCGGTTTACGAAAAATCCCCCGTGCACCCCTGACACGACAGACAGATTTGACTGAAAACGCTCCTGCGCAGCTTCTGATAAGCTTATGCGCTGCAAGAGTGGAGACTCAGTCAGCAAGACTGCTCGGGCTCGGTGAGCAGCGCGCCTCCCAGGAGGCACGCAGCCAGAGGCAGCCCGCCGAAAAGCGCGACCTCTCTCCACCCCTGCGCCCCCGACCCTTCGACCGAGGTTCGCGACGGCGCTGAACTAAAGGCGCGCCGCCGACATCTCTAGCTGCTACTCTGCCGGAGCCCCCCCCCCCTCTAGCCCCCGCCGAGCCCTGGGCCTCTGGGGGGGGGGGACTCCTGGTATATTCGAATTCAACTGACAACGATTGGAAAGAATCCTGGAGGCCAACTCACTACCCCTCTCACTGAGCAATCCCCTCCCATAGAGCTCCCTGAACCTCGCGCCCGTGCTGAAAGCTAGCGCCTCTGAGGTCCTCGGCGCTGACGGCCGAGGGGCATCTGCGCCTCGCGCTGCAAGAGCCTTGAGCTACTTGCCCCCCTTCTTGATCAGGAGCCTCTCGAACAGCACCTTGAATGCAAGAGCCTCGGGTGAGCTCTCGACCAAGAACTGGGCCTCTACCATCTCCCCCCCTCCATCGACCTTCTTCGCCCTCTTCGCCTTCAGGATTTTGAAGCGCCCCCTCTGCCTTCGCGCCCCCCCCCCCCTCCCTCCCTGCGACGTCTGCCTCTCCCAGAACTCCCTGAGACACTGCGACTTCTGGCACCCCCCTGCCCCCCCCCCCCCCCGCGCGCGCGAGATGACGTGGTGCAGGGCCGCGCCGAACAGCGCGGGGTGGGGCGGACCTTGAGGATTGGGCGGGGGGCCTCTCCTTTGCTGAGCGCCTCTTTCTTCTCTTCCGCCCGGCTCCGTGACTCTGCGTCGTCGCCCCGGCCCGCATCCAACGGCTCCTGGATCGCGTCGGCATCTAGCGGCGCCAGGAAAGAACGGAGCAGCGCGCCCAGAGCCATTCGCATGTCGGCCGAGCTCGCGAGCTCTAGCGCGCCCACTGCTTCGATCAGGCTGTCGAGGTCCTGTCGCCGCTAGCCACCGCGAGGAGGGAGGCGGTCGTCTCCGCCCGCGGCGCCCCCCCGCCGCCTCCGCCGATCCTGCGGCCCGCTTCTCGCGAGCTGGCTCCGCCGATGCCGCCGCCGTCCCGCCCGGGCGGGCGCCGCAGTCGCCGCGGGCATGGGCGACGAACTTGCGGGCGCCAGTATCCCAAGGTAAATGGCTTCGGACGCGCAGGAACAGGCCAAGCTCAGATCCACCATCACATGCACAAATCAGGCATCGAAGCGTAGTAGACCCAGAGCCAGACAGTGCATAAGAGCGACCTTTCAGACAGCGCCCACGCCCAAGAGGCCCAGACAACTGCCTGGCCGCCCGAATCTTGCTCGCAAGGAACGGGGCAGTTGGGGCACCTGTGGGAGCTAACCCGTAGAGACGAGAGATGTCTAATACCATGCCCATGCCGAACAGATTCAAGCAGCCGCCTATTAGTAGCACATACTTCCCCACACATCCTACCTCCACGAGTCACCAAGCAGTTGAAAGTCCATTCACCTACTCGTTTAACTTCAGGGCCTGCTTCGGGGCCCAGAGCACGATAACCTTTTTTTTCAACCAAAAAACCCAGACCCGCATGGGGAAAACGATCTTCTCGGAGAGCAGTCTTGACCGACAGGAACTCCTAAGCATACTGGGGTCCAGCGAACAAAATCTGCGGCAGCATCCTCATCCTGAAAGACAGATCGAATCGACCCTTGCGCACCCTCGATAAGATCATCTCTTTCGTGGATTCTGCATGAGTCCACGCAGTCGCTCCCAGCCTGGACAGCACACTGACTGGCAAAACGCGCAATCTTGCCCGTGACACTGTCCAAAGTATCATGCAGCTCAATCGAGAGACGTCCAAAAACCGCGGTGACTTCCTGCACATGCCTTCGCGGAGTCTTGATCCTAGATTGCAGCCACTTCGCACGAGTAACCCGGCACTCGACGCGCGCGGGGACAAGCTCCCAATATCTCGGAGCGTCGTCGTTCGACATCGACGTAAAATGGGCGCCGCAATGCTCGGAAGCCCCACCCCCGCCCCCACCGCCTGCGCGCGAGCGCAGAGCGCCAAGGTCGAATCCATCCGGCGAATATCAAAGTCAGAGAAAATGAAAGCCTCGAGGTTAGATCGCGCTGCGTTGACACATCTAGCTAGAAACGTGCACCGACGCCAGCGCCAGGAAATTCCATGCAATTTCCGCGCAATTTCCAGAAGCGGCCAGCCAGATGAAACGCCCGCAGAATAGCTTCAAGACGCTTGGTAATCTCGGCCGTCGACGAACCTCTAGATGAAACTGCCCCCCAAGACTTCTTTGCACCTAGTGGATGGCCCCTGTGCCTGGCGACCGATCCCAGAGCCCACGCCCACTAAAGAGAAAAAGTTGCTCTGCTTGGAGGCGCTTTGCTTATGGCCGCGAGGCGGTGGACATTGATCCAGTAAACTGCTGGAGCGCATCGCTTTATGACATAATTCAAAAACCCCAGCTCCAAGACCCCCGACAGCCCTATGCGCCCCCCCCCCCCCCCCCCAAGGAATGCACGGTGCATCGTTTCGGCCCCAGGGAGTTCCATGAAAAGCTTTTCAGTGTCGTCGGCATACTCAGTCAAAGATAAGTCCACTCGAGCATCAGGCGAGAAAGGTTGCTCGGTGACCAGAGCACCTGCCATCGGGTCAAAATCCAAGCGCAGCGCCTGCAGCTCCACAGTGGCAGGACGAAGCGCTCTGCAGAAGCCGCGCGCCGCGCGCGGATCTCCCAGCAGCGCCCCCACCCTCGCCTTGACCGCCACATGTCCCTCCTCAGTCGGTAATCGCGCAGTCGCTTCTTGAAAGCGTTGCGTACCCAGAACTCGCCCACCGGGATTCAAAAGCTCAGCAATCGCATCTTCTAGCGAGGCCCAGGAAGATGAGGCGAAGACGTTGGCCATGTCCTTTCCTGAAGCAGCCGAGAAAGCCCGCGCGCCCGAACTCTGCGCATACTGCGCTGCTGCACGAGCACCGCCCCCACCTTCCCCCTTCCTTCGCAGAGGCCACGTTCGCAATCCCCCAGTCGAGTAGAGACGCCACGCTTGATAGCTGGCGCGAGCCCTTGCCGAGCACATCTAGTAGGTGTGCAACTCTCTTGCTGGCAACCCTCGTTCTCAGCTTGCCATCCAAGGCCTGCCTGACGGAAACAAAGTCAATCGCGAGGTCGACAGAGCATCGGCCGGACCTCCGGCGGAGCCGACTCCGATGGGCAAACTCCCCTCTCAGGGGCTCTCCTCATGTAGCCCACCGCCCCCTCGATCACCCCCCCCGCCTCCTCCGAGCAGTCGCCCCAAGTGCCCCTCGCACGCGAAACAATCCCTCATCCTCTTCCTTGTGCGCTCCTCCCACGCGATCTTGATAGCCTCCAAACCTCCTTCGCCGCCAGAGCGACTCCATACCTCCATCCACTCCTCCTCTGTCAAGCAGCCCTCCGAGAGATGCTTGCAGTTGCGCTTTCGAGGCCCCCAGGGGCTGCCCGCTGCCAGACGAGACCAGGCATGCACTCCCACAAACTTGCGTTGAAGCCATGCATCCTGCAAAAGTCCCAGATAGAGTCTGCGCCTGGCTTCAGCTTCAATGCAAGCGCGTCTAGTCATGTGTGCGAGATGACTTTGCGTAGCTGCATTGCGACGCTCTCCTCCTCTCTCTCCTCCGCTTCGGCTAAGCCGAGTCTAATCTCCTTGCGCCGTGCTAGTAGCTCTCCTCGCTGCTTCCTCATCTGCGGTAAATCATGAGAACGCCGCTGCATTGCGCCGTAAAACGCAAGCCCCCGACGAACAACAATGTCGTTAAGGGCCGAGAAAAAACGATCAGGAGTACGTTATTGCAGCAGCCCTGTCAACTCCACCTTTCTCTCCTCGCGCTCATCATTGATCGCCTTCAGCATGCCCCTCTGTCTTTCTCCTTTCATCAGCCCCATCCATCAATACATTCGGATCCCAACTCTGAGAAAACTGCTGCTTGGGCCCATTGGAATACTCTAGCTTCCACGCAGCATGCACGGGCAGATGGTCGCGAATAGCTCGTGTCCGAATGAATTGAACCTGTCGCCCCAGTCGGTGAAGGACCCCAGCTCTGCGCACCCTGGAGGCAACCGCAGCTGGAGCAAAAGTCTGATCCCATCTTTCGCACTCACCTTTAGGACCATGCATTGCATTAGTGGGCGGACTACCAACGTCTAGGCACCCCACCCCACGGGAGCGAAGTTCGTCGGACCCCCCCACAGGACAATTTCCCGCCCGGAACCTACCGACACCCCCCCAACGCGCCCCCCACCACGCCCCACCACGCCCCAGCACCCCACCCCATGGGAGCTCAGCTCTTCGGACCCCGCACACGACAATTTCCCGTCCAAAACCTACCGACACCCCCCACCGCGCCCCCCACCACGCCCCACGGGAGCTCAATTCTTCGGACCCCCCGCAGGACAATTTCCCGCCCGAAACCTACTGACACCCCCCACCGCGCCCCCCGCCACGCCCCGGCACAACACCCCACGGGGGCTCAGTTCTTCTGACCCCGCACGCGACAATTTCTCGCCCGAAACCTACCGACACCCCCCACCGCGCCCCCCACCACGCCCCGGCTCCCCACCCCACGGGAGCTCAATTCTTCGGACCCCGCACACGACAATTTCTCGTCCGAAACCTACCGAAAACCCCCACCGCAGCCCCCAACACGCCCTGGTACCCCACCCACGGGAGCTCCGTTCTTCGGACACCCCCGCACGACAATCTCGCCCGAAACCTACCGACGCCCCCCGCCGCGCCCCCCACCACGCCCGGCATCCCACCCCACGGGAGCTCGGTACTTCGGACCCCCCACGCGACAATTTCTCGCCCGAAACCTACCGACACCCCCCACCGCGCCCCCCACCACGCTCCGGCACCCCACCACGGGGGCTCAATTCTTCGGACCCCCCACACGACAATTTCCCGCCCGAAACCTACCGACACCCCCCCAGCGCCCCCCACCACGCTCCGGCACCCCCACCCGCGGGAGCTCAGTTTGCGGACCCCCCGCACGACAACTTCTCGCCCGACACCTGCCGGCACCCCCCACCGCGCCCCCCACCACGCTCCGGCACCCCCACCCCACGGGAGCTCAATTCTTCGGACCCCCCACACGACAAGTTCTCGCCCGACACCTACCGACGCCCCCCACCGCCCCGCAACCCGCCTCGACATCCCCACCCCGCGAGAGCTCCATACTTGGGACCCCGCCGCGCGACAACTTCTCGCCCGAAGCCTCCCGACGCCAGCCACCGGCCCGAAAGCGCAAACCGTTACCCGCTACCTACCCCCACCCCGCCCTTCAGCACAGCCCTCCACCTCCACCCCGCGAGAGCTCTGCTCCTATGATGCGCCCCAATCCTCGGCCGGCCACATTGGCCCCGACCACGCAGCGGAACCTTCTCGTCCGCCCCCTCGTCCTTCTCCTCCTCCTCCTCCTCCACCTCCTCCTCCTCCCCATTTCCCTCCTCCTCCTCTTGCGCCGCCTCCGCCCCCCCCCCCATCCCGCCTTCCTTCTGCCCCTCCTCTGCCGCGCCACACTGGCCGAGACCGCGCAGCGGGCCCGCGGCGAGCGACGCTGCGGGGCGCCCCGACGCGCCATCGCCATTCCGTTTTTCCTTTTTTTCATCACCGATTCCCAACTCCGATCGGCGACCTCCTTCCTCTTGCGCTCTTCGTGCCCGAAGCGCCTGTTGCACCGCTGCTTCCCATTTGACTTTCTCGTCGCCCGCTGGGCCAACCGCCGGCAGACGTCCACTTTCGGGGGCGCGCCCTTGCAGGCTATGCATTTCCAACATCCGCGCTGCACCCTCGCCCCCTCGACGCCTCGCTGACACTCGCGGTCGCGATCGACCGCGTTGGCCCGCGTGCGATCCGAGAAGAACTCGCGCCGCTGACATTCCCCGCACACCGCGCAAACTTTGGCATCCTTCCGCGCACCCGCGCCCCGGTCTGCAGCTGCAACTTCGATGTAGCGCTTGCACTTGCGGCGGCAATCGGCCGCGTCGCCCCGCATGCGGCCCGAAAAGAACTCACGTCGCTGACGCTCCCACACCCCGTGCAAATCTTCAAATACTTCCTAGATTCTGCGACCCGCGCTGCAGCTGCGGCGTCGACGCACGTGGCGCACGCTACCGACGCTCTGACCGCGCGGTCAAACTGGTGAATGCCTTGCTCTTCGAATCACCGCGCTTTGACCATGCCGCCCGTTCTTCTGCCTCGGCGCGCTGCCCCCGCCCCCACCAAGTTCTTGCGCGCGTTGCGTTTGCGCCCGTCGCTGCTCATGTCCGCCTTGGCAAACTCGTCCGCCAAATTCTCTTCGCCGCAGCGGGAGCGCTTCAGGTGCTTCTTCAGTTCCTCGCGCTCTGCGCACATCCCCCCGTGCAACGACTTTTCCCTGCCAGTTCCCACTGATGTTGCGCGAACGCCTCTTCGCACTTTTGAACATCACGCGCGCGGCATTTCCGCCTCTCGGGGCAGTCCACGCAGCGCCGCGAAGTCAGCTTCGACGAGTGGTGCTGGGACGC